GAATTAAAAAAGAACTAAGTAATAATAACACTTTAACAAATGAGCATTTTAATTATTCTTCTATCGAGATAAAGTCTTCAAAACAGTCTCAATAGTATAGTGTCTATATAATTAAAGAAAGAATTAAAAAAGAACTAAGTAATTATAATGCTTTAATAAATGGGGATTATAGCTATACTTCTCTCGAGATGAAGTCTTTAAAACAGTCTCAAACGTATTTTGTCTATATAATTAAAGAAAGAATTAAAAAAAGAACTAAGTAATTATAACATTTAAACAAAAGAGCACTACAGTTATACTTCTCTTGAGATAAAATAGTCTCAATAGCATTAAAGAAAGAATGAAAAAAAGAACTAAGTAATAATAGCACTTTAACAAATGAGCACTATGGTGTTCTGTAATAACATGATCGTACGTGCTTTTAATAAAAATATGAATTTATTCTTCAATGTTAATTAAAGTCCAAGATCTTCGCATGAACGCGGAAGCACGCCATTCCTAGAAATTGTCACGTCCAATACAATATATAATGAGTCAAAATTATTTGTATAAACTAGTGATGTCTTAGGCAAGAGTCTAGCCAAGTGATGTCTTAGGCAAGAGTCTAGCCAAGTGATGTCTTAGGAAAGAGTCTGGTCAAGTGATAATGTCTTAAGAGTAGTATCAGAATATCATAAGTGGAGATTATGTCTATTAATTAAAAGAAATAAATACAGTGCTTAATACTACAAGTGGATTTTTATATTGGAAACCAGAAGTTTATCTCTTCCAGCAAATACCTTACTGAAAGGACCTATTATTCTGAAGAGAGCTATTATCAAACCAGTCAATCAAACATTACTCCTACTGCTCGACCCAAGGCACCAGGAAAGGGTTGGACGGACATTATTACCATATCGTATAAAGAATCTACTACGGTAACCACTAACTAGGATTGTGGATCTACCAACATCGGACCTCCAACCCATACCCAACACCTCCCACACAACAACTTATTTCATTTCAATGGTTATACTTCTCTCAATATGAAGTTTTTAAAACAGTCTCAATAGCATTGTGTCTACATAATTAAAGAAAGAATTAAAAAATAACTTAATAATTATAACACTTTAACAAATGAGCACTATAGTTATACTTCTATCCAGATTAAGTCTTCAAAAAAGTCTCAATAGCATATAATGTCTAAATAATTAAAGAAGGAATTAAAAAAGAAATAAATAATTATAACACTTTAACAAATGAGCATTATAATTATACTTATCTCAAGATAAAGTTTTTAAAACAGTCTCAATAGCATTGTGTCTATATAATTAAAGAAAGAATTAAATAAGAACTAAGTAATTATAACATTTTAACAAATGACTGATTATGGTTATACTTCTCTCAAGATGAAGTCTTTAAAACAGTCTCAATAACATTGTGCCTATATAATTAAAGAAATGATTAAAAAAGAACTAAGTAATTATAACACTTTAATGAATAAGCATTATAGTTATACTTTTCTCGATATGAAGTTTTTAAAACAGTCTCAATAGCATTGTGTCCATATAATTAAAGAAAGAATTAAAAAAGAACTAAGTAATTATAATGCTTTAACAAATGAACATTTTAGTTATACTTATCTCAAGATGAAGTTTTTAAAACAGTTTCAATAGCATTGTGCCTATATAATTAGAGAAAGAATTAAAAAAAGAACTAAGTAATTATAACACTTAACAAATGAGCATTATAGTTATACTTCTCTCGAGATGAAGTCTTTAAAACAGTCTCAATATCATCATTGTATGTATATAATTAAAGAATTAAAAAAAAAAAAACTAAGTAATTATAACATTTTAACAAATGAGCATTATAGTTATACTTCTCTCGATATGAAGTTTTTAAAACAGTGTCAATAGCATTGTGTTTATATAATTAAAGAGAGAATTAAAAAATTAACTAAGTAATTATAACATTTTAACAAATGAGCAATTATAGTAATACTTCTCTCGAGATGTAGTATTTAAAACAGTCTCAATAGCATATAATGTCTAAATAATTAAAGAAAGAATTAAAAAAGAAATAAGTAATTATAACACTTTAACAAATGAGCATTATGGTTATACTTTTCTCGAGATGAAGTCGTTAAAACAGTCTCAATAGCATTGTGTCTATATAATTAAAGAATAACTTAATAATTATAACACTTTAATAAATGAGCACTATAGTTATATTTCTCTCGAGACAAAGCAGTCTCAATAATATTAAAGAAAGAATTAAAAAAAGAACTAAGTAACACTTTAACAAATGAGCATTATAGTTATACTTCTATCGAGATAAAGTCTTGAAAACAGTCTCAATAGCATTGTGCCTATATAATTATAGAAAGAAATGAAAGAAATATTAGTTATGAATATCAAGTACTCAAGAGTAATTTTCAAATTATATTATACATAAATATTCATTTTGTAATTTTTATATTTACATATATTTTACAAAAGAAAAAAATAATTAGTTATAATTATTATTAACATATAATTGTTGTGACAATTTCTCAATGAATTTATTTTAAACTCAATGTTTTTATCTTTACAAAATATGATAATAACAATTGAAACTAATTACTAACCTTTTTCTAATTTATTTAGGTATTATCAGGAAAATTAAAACATAGATAATGGCCTAACAATTATAACAGCACACTCGAAGTAAGGTTTGAGGGCTTGATTTGCAGTCGAGAGAAATTTGCACCAGAGACTTCAGGTAAAGATAATTATATATATATATATATATATATATATATATATATATATAATTGTGAATAATTTTGTGCGTATTACATATAACAAGTATTTATTATTACTACTATTAATCCTAACCTGTATTTCTTTCCCATCGCTATCAAATCGCGTTGTCAAGTTAACATTTGGTTTATATTTTGAAAACACATCACGGTTTAACATTTTAAAACACAAATTACTTATTCATTAATATATATTTGTTGCAAAAACTGATATATAAATATAATTTCTTTTCGAAGATAAATTTATGTCAAACGTCAAACTTTTGACAGTTTGTCAAAACTCAGCACCCCAACAGTGTGAAGTTAACGGTGTGTACTAACGACAGTGCTAACAATGGCGAAGTTAGTACATTAGCAAACATAATATGATTGCAATACCAAAATTTAGTTTACTAAATTTACGATTACTAAAATTCATTAATTTTCATTTCAAATTTTGCGCCATTACTTTGAATGCCAAAAGTAGCGCCATCACGTCGAGCGGAGGACCCTTTAAGTATTCCTTAAACGCTAACAATGGCGAAGTTAGCTGAAGTCGAAATGTCAATTGTCAATGAGTTTTATGGACTTTATATTAAAGTTAAACAAAACGAAATAATAGATTTATATTAAAGCATATTTGTTGTTGATGCAAAGCATATAAATCGAAAGCTTTCTAAACTTTTTATAAATCACTGTTTGTTTGTTTACAAAAAACGAAAAACGCCGAAAATGTCTGAAGAAACAATTTCAAACCCAACAATTAAAATTGAGCCAAAGGAATATCCTCCAGTTAAACAAGAACTTGATGATAACGATATTACTCCAGAAACATTTTTAGAAAATGAGGTAATATATTTACATCAATCATTATCAGAAAAAATAAAACAAGAAACAATTGATGATCAAGATGAAACAAGTTTCGACGAGGGATCTTATATGGAAAACGAAGGAATATATCAACAGCGATTTTTAGATTCTGAAGTCACTATAGATGAAGAAGTAAAGAAAGAAACAATTGATGATCCAGATGAATCACGTTTTGATGAATATTCTTATACGGAAAATGAAGAAATATGTCTACAGCAATTTTTAAAATCTGAAGTAACAATTGACGAAGAAGTTAAGCATGAACCGATTGATGAGCATATTGCAGACACTAGTGAGGACAAAATAAATTTATATAACAAACCTTACATATGTAATGACGACGTCAGTGAGTCAAGTGATAATATAAATAAATGCAATAAGTCATTTAAAGAAGTTTTAGGAAAACGTAAAACTACCCTAAACTTGAAACAACCCTTGAAATGTAAAGTTTGCAATAAATATTTTTCAACAACTAGCACCTTACATCAACATAAAATGATTCATACAGTAGAACGTCCTTACAAATGTGAAACCTGTAATAAAGCATTTATAAGAAATCGTGAATTAATTCGACATAAAAGGATTCATACAGGAGAACGTCCTTACAAATGCGAAATATGTAATAAAGCATTTTCAACAAGTGATTATTTAAGTTTACATAAAAAATATCATGCGGGAGAACGTCATTACAAATGTGAAATATGTAATAAAGCATTTATAACAAATGGTAATTTAAGTCAACATAAAAGGATTCATACGAAAGAACGTCCTTACAAATGCGAAATATGTAATAAAGCATTTTCAACAAGTGATTATTTAAGTTTACATAAAAAATATCATGCGGGAGAACGTCCTTACAAATGCGAAATATGTAATAAAGCATTTATACGAAATGGTAATTTAAGTCGACATAAAAAGATTCATACGAAAGAACGTCATTTCAAATGTGAAATATGTAATAAAGCATTTATAACAAACGGTGAATTAATTGGACATAAAAGGCTTCATACAGGAGAACGACCTTACAAAGGCGGAATATGTAATAAAGCATTCATAGCAAAAGAAACATTAAACCAGCATGAAATGATCCACACTGGAACCCGTCCTCATAAGTGTGCTTTATGCAATAAATCATTCACAAGAAAAGAAACATTAAACCAGCATTTAATGATTCATACTGGAGAACGACCTTACAAATGCGAAATATGTAATAAAGCATTCATAGCAAAACAAATATTAAACCGACATCTAAAGATTCATACTGGAGAACGACCACATAAATGCAAGATATGCAATAAAGCATTCAGTTTAAAACGATATTTAAAACAACATGAAATTGTCCACACGAGAGAAAGCAATCATTGATGAGCCACATGCAAAAAAACATTTGCAACTACACCAACCAACATAAAACTGTTAATACTGTAGAACATCCTTATAAATGTGAAATATGTAATAAAACATTAAAATCCAAACATGGATTAAAATGCCATTCAAAACAAAACAATCATGAAAACTGATAAAAGTATATCGATAAAATAATCTGACAGACAAATTTATAATCGAGGATTAAATTTTCATAATTTTAAACACAGTAAGACATTATAGTTATAGTTAGCATTCTCATCAGTATAGAACAGTTTGGTAAATATTGCTTATAAAATATCTTTAAAAATATTTGTGGTCACTAATAAAATATAATATTTAATGATTTATTGCTCACCAATTATTGTTCACCGCCAGAAGTTATTACAAGAATATACAGTGTCATTATTTAAATCAAATTGTTTTTCATTTAATTATGTATATATGTATATGAATAACATAAAAATTAAAACTTGTTGTAAAAAAGGGCTTGAACAATATTTGTTATTATTGGTCACTTATTAACTTCCCGGAGAGTTGGTTATAGTAATCGTCCAAAAATCAATAATAAAAGTTTTGATTTGTATCATATGTTTACATTTCAAAGGTTTCTTAATAGTTGTGTGTGTGAATGTATATTTGGGTACAGTTTTTCTTCTACAATTTCTGGAGCACGGATATATGATTGAAAGATGTTACTTGGAAATAGGAATTTGTATTATTTTATTTTCAATGAAAGCGAAAATTTTATTTTATCCTAATTTCATTTTAATGGCAAAACTCACGTTTTATTGCGTTGAATATTGTCAGGTTTTGTTCTGAGGCTATGGGCCCTGATAAATACAGTAGAACCTCGATTAACCGGACTAATTGTTGTCGATAGGCATCCGGATAATCGAATGTGTAAAGAATAATGCTGTGTATTCATTGAAAATAAAAAATACATACATAGATATCAATGAAAAAAATGTTTATTAAGAAATTGAAACTTCCTTATGTGTGTACATATATATTTCCTTAGATTACATTACATACATATACTAAACTGCAGCATTAATCATGTAAAAATTCGAATTGTAGGTATGTAAATACATATAAATTAGTCGTGGTTGGTAGTCCGGATAATCAATATTTTCATGTTGATTTTAAATATGAATTCTTGTGTTTATATTTTTGTTATTTACTTTTACTTTACCATGATAAAAGCTTCACAATACTCAATGTCAAAACAGATGAAACAAAAGCGCATTTATTCGGAGATAACTCCCCATGCAATCTATAAATCATTTTCACATTTAAAATTTGGCCAAATATTCCATTATTTGGCCATAATACCTGACACAATAGTCTAATTGGCATAAAACAAAACCGAGTTGAAATTTCAAGTATTAAATACAAACAAATTTAAGAAGCTGAAGATCAATACTTTTCACGTTAACATATACTTATTATTTTGTAATTAACATGATGTTGCTGCATCGCAATAAGTTACAGCTGTATTATCATCTAAAAAGCTAACAGATAAATATGTTTAATTGTGTATAGTTTAAGCGTTTTTCAGGAGGTAAATATCGAAAAAAGCTCTTGCTCATGTCAACCGAGTCGACATTAACATCTGGCTGGATACCTGGCTTAAGATTTTCAAATAAATTAGCAGTAAACAATGTACACATAAGTCTGTTTTTACACGGTAGATTGGTTCCAGAAGAAGCCGTGTAAAAAAAAAACGTGTAAAAAAAGACATAATAAGTGCATATACAAAAATGGGTGATTTGTTCCTAATCTCTAAAACCTATTAAAATTAGTGAAAAACAAGAATTTTTAAGAACAAGAATTCATGTTTATTTTAGTTAGTGCTATTCACATTTGCTTTGACCAGTAAAAATTGTTTGTACGCGCTAAAGGGGATTTCACTTAAATCTTTAAGCTAGTGTTCGCAAACTATCGATACTGTCGATGGTTTCAGACTTATTTTTCTTTCATAAATACTTTTTTGTGATATGAACATACTTCGCAAAAATTAAATTTGACAAAAAAATGTAAGTACATAAGATTTCAAATCGTGCTAAATGGAATAAAATCGTGTAAAAAAATTAAAAATATTCAATTTTCAAACCGTGTTATTTCAAAACCGTGTACAAAAAGACTGTGTAAAAACAGACTTAGGTGTACATACTTTCTTTTAGCTGTTTTTTTTTTGAAAATGCAATTTTAATCTTTCGGTGTTTTTAAGAGCCTTTTAAAACTTGTATCGATATTTTTTATTACTTTCCTTTACATGAAAAACATGTAGACCTTCTCTAAATTTGCAAAAGTAGCATAATGCAGAAAAAATATCCTCGGCATGTTAGATAAAACAATACTTGAATCTCTATCAAAATATAATTATTATGTTAAACAACACCCAAAGAAATGTCGTTCTCACAATTACACTTATTATGCAATCGTGTTTGAACAACTTCATGTAATTGAAATGACCATACATTTTACATTTTATGGCTATACTGTCTCATTTTTTGAGCAGCTGTAGTATCTGTCTTGATATAAAATATTTTCTATTTTAATAACTTCAAAGATGTATACAATTACAAAATACTTCAATAAACTTACTTTTCTCTTCCGGATATACGTTTCATTTATTTTATTATTTTCATTATAATTATTTACGGGGGACAGGATAAAATATTCTTCTGATTCGGGCATTTTTTATTAACTTCCCGAAGGAGAAGTTTATGTTTTTATCAAAAAATCCGATTCGCTAATTTTATGTTTTCTCGACCTTTCAAGCCATTCTGAATCGAATGAGAGCAAATTTGAAAAAAGTATGTGTGTGTGTGTGTGCATGTGCATCAACAGATTTTTTGCCGTAAATCGCCGTTTTCTCCAAAACGGCTGGATCGATTTCAAAAATTTAAAAGCCATTTAATGTATCTCGATGAGGACTATCGTTTGTCAGTTTTGTGCGACGATCGGCCGAGACGTTTCTTTATAAATAACAGAAAAGTGAAAAAAAAATTCCACGTTTTAGCCCGCAATTATGAATCGATTATGAAAATTCGAAAACCGTTCGAAAGATATTGGTTGGAAATCGTGTTGATTAGTTTTAGGTGAAAATCTATACCGAGCCGTTTTCTTGTAACTGTTGAAAAAAAAAATTGAAGCCGATTTTTATGGAACTTTTTTTAGCGATATATATATCATGGTCTTATAGAACTTACTGTAATATTACAGCCTTACAACAAGTAGTTTAATTTTAAAAATTTATCATAGTTTGAGAAAATGAGAAATGAAATTATAAAAATTATTGATCCTTGAATATTTGCTTTTAGAAAATACTACGTGTTAATGTGTTCGTTCGTTCTCAATTAGGTATAATAAATCCACTCGAAATACTTTTAATCATTGATAAATTAATTTATTTCTTATTGATTAAGTCGATTATTTACACATATCGGGAAGTTCATGTAACTTGCCTCAAGGCTAAATACCAATACGCTTTACGTTGACGTATGCTGTACGCGTACAATGACACGACGACCAATCACAATCGACATGTATAAAAATGGTCTCATTAAGAGTGAATGAACAGGTCGGGCGTAACGCAACTTCCGTTGCATTTTCACAGATTTACTCCCTAGGCGCTGCTTAAGAAGTTGTTCTTAATGAGAGTTAAGAATGACAGACGATGTAATGAACTAACACAATAATGCATTATTCACTAAATTTCACTAAATATTTATATTAATAAGTAGAAAAAAGAGTAGAAGTTATTCCAGTAGATTAGATGTGATATCTATTATATTATAAACCGGCAGTGTATTTGTTGATTTATATTTTGATTTGATTGTATATTTATTATAGTATAATATTATCTAGTATATTTTTTTATATTTTATATTAATACAAAAATAATTGATTGCAATGCAAAATTTAGTTTCAAATATCCGATTTTAAAAATTCATTAATTTGAATGCCAAAAGCAGCGCCTCACGTCGAGCGGAGGACCTTTTAAGTATTCTTCTGAACGTAAAAAATCGGGCGAGAGAAACGTCTATTGTAGGCATAATGGCCTCCACTAATAGCCTCCACTCATAGACCTTATACAATTTCATGGACTGCTAATCCCATAGACCTTATACAATTTCATGGACTGCTAGTCCCATACATTTCTCAAGTAAAAAAGGTGTCAAAAGATGTTCTATGGTATGAGGGCATACGAGGGTAATTTCGCGGACCGAGATATGTCAAACTCGATCGCTTAAACGTCAAATGAAAGTCCGTTGTGTTCGAAATTGTTGGGTAAATATATATAATATACAATTTAGGTTGAACTAATGAATGTAATGAACTATTTATTTATTATTTATTTTTAGGTATACAAAGTGTTCAAGGGAAATTGGAAAAAAAAAAAAAAAAAATATTTTACATATTATAAAATCACTGAAAATAAGAACAGTTGGCTAGAGCTATTAGGGAAATTAGAAATCAATAATGAAATATTTGTTTAAATGTAATATATTTATATTGATGTTTAAAAAGCAAATTTTCGTGTGAAAGTGGCGTACATGTTTATCAAGTTTGCTTTTTTATGTTCTTCATGGTGCATTCTATTTGTTA